TTAAAAAGAATAACATAACATACATATAGTGAGCAAAATTCCTAATATATATTATATATAATTATATAGAAAGAAATAAACAATTCATATGCAAATAAACTCTCAAATTCTTCTAGAAAGATCTGAATTTAAAAGCAAACACATGAATTTAAGACCTCTATCTTCACATGGTATGTAACACAATTGAAGATGCTTAAGAACAACAATGGCTACTAGCCCTCTGCATCTGGAAAATTAAGGACACTGGGAGGGGAAAGAAGCTGAACTAAAACAGACTATCTAAGGACCTGGAAGGGGAAAGATGCTGAATTAGAATGGACTGTCAAATACAGAAGTCTAGCTGGTCGAGAACAAAGAATTTTCTCTCATCTAGATCTATGACATTAAGAATTCATAAAGGTCCTAACATACCAGGAAGTTCCTTGTTGGAAAGGCAGAACATCCTAAGCCCCCACCTTAAAGATAAATATACTAGCAAACGCCACACAGATTTGGCATGTATTTATCTTCCCCAGTTCAATTTAAATCAACTACAAATTTAGAATAAAAAAATTCCATCATTTCTAAAATAGTTTCTCAAGTTAGACAAAAACAAACAGTATTGTTCTCCCTTACATACAAACACAAAGTATATCAAGAATACCTTGATTGCAAGAAAGAATGGCTTCCCTGGGTCTGTGCATTTTGACTTGGGCTTCCGCTAGATGACACCAGGCAGTTATGCAGAGAGGGCTTTCTTTCAGGCCTAGAAGGATGAAGTATTACACATACCATGGGTTCCAGGAATCAAATTCAGATCCTCAGCGTTCACAGCCCTTACTGACTGATCTACCTTGCCAGCCACACCCTGTCACAATAATTCTAAAACCGCAAATCAGAACATAAGATTTTACTGCTTAGAGCTCCCATGGGTAACTGCTGACCTCAGGGGGCAGTATAAGTTTTTTAACAGTGTTTAACAGTTACTTCCTGTCCCTTCCCATGCCCAGACTCCATCCTCAAGGCTTACTGAACGACCCTGAACAACAATTTTCTCCTCAGCTGCGCTCCTGCACAAACACCTTCCCTGATCTAAACATTCCGCCACCACACACACATTTCATCTACTTTCCTCACTGTCATTCTGAAGCTTGAACAGAAGTTTATCCAAAAACACCACACCTACAATGACTAAGCTAAGCCTCTCTATTTCTAAGGCTTCCTCAAAGTTTTTCTACAGTACAAAGGAAATCACTGGGACACATAAAGTCAAATTTTCCGCAGTCTTGAGTTGAAGAGTTGAAATTCAAATCTAATAAGCAGACTCCAGAGTAGATGTTTACATTTTCCTGTTAGCTTATCTTCTTACAGGAGGCAAAAACATTGGTCCCTGTGGACTGAGTCCCCACTGCCATACCAAATGCTAGATGCTGTACATTCATTACCTTCGGTTAGGTGATTAACGGCATCTTCATACTTCTTGTTTTGTAAAGCTTTAACACCTAAGCCAATGAGGCCTGGACCGCTTTTTGGATTCATTTCCACTAGCTTACAACAATATTGCTGTCCTTCATCTATCAGACTCCCTAAAATGAAAAAAAAGAGTAATAATAATAATAAAAACTGTTATGAGCATGCATATATATGTAAAAATACACCAAATTTTTAACTACCAAAATCTATATGCATAAATCTCAAAAGATGCTTTATACATACTTTACCAAACCCTGTTGAAAGAACTAAAAACTTAAATAAAGCAGCAAATAAAGAAGATATTAATACCTCATTAACACATTTGGATACTAGAAGTAAAACCACCTTAAATACGTACTAAAACTGAATTCATGCTCAAAGGTTTCAAAGGAAAAACCTGTCCCTACAAGTCCATGGGCTGTCAAAGAAACCTGTTGCTACAAGTCCTTGTGCTGCCACGTTTCCTTTTCCTATTCAACTCTCAGCAGTGTTACCTATTCAGCCATATTATCTTTAGTATCTTACTGGTTCCCTGAGGGCCATAATTTACAGCTTGAGGGACAGCAGCTGACGCTGGTGGACTTCTCCAGCATCCTACTTTCAAAAGATGCTGCACTCGATTCAGGAAACTGAGTGAAAACTTAGTCACAGTCTTAGGTTTATAAGTTCAGCAATACACTGCACACATTTTTCACCAAACTGTTTTTGCTTATATAAGCACAATATAATAATTGTGCTTATGCATTAATTATCTAATGTGGCAATAATCTTAACTTCTTTTAGTAAATTTTCTCCAACCTCAAAGAAATTAAATGTTCCAATTTCTAGAAATTCATATAAAAAATGAAAAATATGACTTGTTTTTATAATTAACGAGGAGCATTCAACACTTTAATAAATTGTTTAACCACACAGGCAAGTTCTTAAGAAGTAACTAAGACAGACAACTTGAAAGAATAAGCACGGGGAGGAAATAAATATAATTAATATCTTAAAGCCCTGTTGTTTTAACATCTATGGTAAAATATGTATCCTCAAGCCACATATGGAATCATTGTCTGAATCCAATATTAAACTAAATTATTAGCACAATGCTCATATTTCAATATAATGTATATCAGATGCATACCAATGAATAATTTGTAATTAATGGTATATACTGATTTAGAACTCCAAATGAGCATCCAAAATAAACAAAGTCATACTAGCTAAAAAATTAAAATTTCAGCACCGTATGGTAAAATATGAAATTAACTGGAAAAAATATCACTTTGGTTAGTTATGATGCTTCCAGACATGACTTTACTTCTGTCAAAACCATTTCACCGTTGTCTCTACGAATTGGAATTTGGATTCCAGTTGGTTCCACAACCTCATATCGTCCTTCGAAAGCTGCAGTCTTCCTATGTCTACACAAGGTCTTCCCACGTCTACACAGGGTGTGTCCACGATGACACATCTCCACTCATATCAGGACAACTGAAGGATCTGATTTGCTCACCAGAGGAAATCAGCATCTAGTTCAGTATTTGTGATGCAAGATTTTAGAGTTTGCATTTCCGACGAATTTTCGGGTAATACCGATGCTACTTGTCCAGACCAGTAGAACCACACATTTGCTAAGACCATATGTTATCCAAAGTGTTAGTCTAACAGACATACAGTGCCTTTGCTGTCTTTGTAACTAAATGAAACCTTCTAGAGAGGAGAGACTGATAGAAGGTATAGCATGCACGGTAAGCATTTATTAAATGAGCCTTTGAAAACATAATTCATGACATGCTACTTTTTATAGCACAAACCACCTTTATCACAAACATATCTAGAATGACAAAAGAAAAAGATAGTTATGAATGTCTCCAAAGATGATCCACAGATAACAGCACCCAAATTACACATGGGTAAACACAGCATGGACAGGTATCTTCCAAAGGCCAAGATAAACAGGAGCAGCTTTCAAAATAAGGGACCTTTCTAATATATTCCCTTTGCTAATATCTTGAAGAACAATTGCAAAAACAAAAGACATTTGGCACAGGCCTGTAACTTTGGCAGTTGCGACAAAGAGATCAGAGAGGTTCAGGAGTTCAAGGCCACCCTCAACTACATGCAGAGTTCAAGGCCAGCCTAGAATAGAAGAGACTCTGTCTTAAGAACTGGGCGGGGCCAGGTAACACTCCCCCCATGTTTGGCCAGGAGGGCCTTTGAGACACTCCACAGCATAGTCTAAAAGCAGAATCGTATCATTACATTACGTTGCACTACAGCAAGTAATGCAAAAAGGGACAGGAATTGGAAAGAGAGCAAAGAGGGCCACACGGGAGGATGTGGAGAGAGGAAAGGAAAGGGGGAAATGGTGTAATTATAATCTCTAAAGAGAATAAAAAACAAGTAAACAATTATTAAAAACAGTTAAACAATATTATGTTTACTTCTCAAAAAGGCAGGACAACTCGAAGTTTGATAAATATTAAAACTCCAAGGATAAAACTGATGGAAAAAAAATAGCTTTATGGCATTCAGTTTCCTAAATTATAAAAGGTTTGGTTTTGTTTTTATAATCATTTCTGACATACAAAAGAAACTGAGGAACACTATAATTTGTCACTTTTAAATAAACCTAGCTTTGGAGTAAGAAAAAAATACAGCATGATGGCACTCATTTTTCTATGTTCATCACCTGGATTTTCAAATATTTCTAAGACATCAAACCTCTTGTTTTTTTCATAGCCCAGATCTTTGCTCACTCATGCTAAGCAAGTGCCCTACCCTGGGTTGTCTCCCTGGGCCCCAAACACAAAATCATAAATAACCTTAATGAAGCTGTTTTCGGCTTGAATTTAAAGAGCCAAGAGCCTCTCTGTCCTCTTATATTTCAGCTACAAGGCAAAAATAAATGAAAACAGTCTTTTAGCACATAAACACAAAAAGTACCTTTTAACAAACTGCAACTAGAAAAGTTATTCGACTCTGTTACATGAAGCTTGAAAACAGCTTAGCTTTAGTTTGCAGATTTCCTATTTACAAACAATTGATGGGCCCTGACTACTTTAAAAGCTCCTTTCAAATAACATACTTTTCACATAAACCATATTTGTTGTTTTTAGTTGGTTTTTTTTTTTTTTTTCTATATTGGGCTAAACTTTGAAACTAAACTAAACTAAACTTTGGAAATAATTCTGCCCTTCCCTTTAAGAAGTTCTATACATTTTTTCCATTCATGCGTTTCTTCCTCTTACCGCCATGATATTCCAAGGTCAGTTATTCCTTCTTGGCATCTCTTGGTCTAACACTCTAGTCTACTGCTGTCCATTCTAACTTAATCTTAGTTTAAGCTCCTGTACCTCATAAAGTAATTCATTCTGATACTTTGGTGCTTCTTCAAGATAGTTATGCTTGAAAACAAGAAAAAGATCTTCTTACTTGTCAGTGGAAATTCCAAGACTAAAAGGAAGAACAATTGTCTTCATACAGAGCGGAAAACTTTAAGGAGTGATAAAGGAGTGTTGCAACGAGCAGAATCAACATAGGTGCGATTGCAGCCTGTGTTCTGGTTATTTCCAGAACACAACCACATTGTTCAACTATGACAGACGTGAGCCATTCAGATAAAACGTTCCATGTAGTTAAAGATTTTGCAACCAAGTGATAAAGATTCACTGCGCTAGGAAAGTTCTGCAATAATCCTGTCACCACCTACTGCAGGTGCTAGGTCCAGTTCAGTTTATCAGTGATTTCTGTGAACTTATCTTGAGTGAATAAAAGCGTGTACAGGAGTGCACTCCAGGTATCATAAAGCATCCTTTTCAGCATTAACACTGACAAGAGGCCAACATGAAAAATCTCAGCGTCAATCTGCATGAATATCAGAGTAGATCACAAGTTTACACGGCTTCAGATAAACTGCTCCTGACAACCCAGCTGTTAACAAGCACTACGGCATTCACATCAACACCGTGAAGCTCAGTGTTCCCACAAATCCTTTCCACTGCACTCAAGACAGATAGAACATAATCCAACCTACTCAGCCGAGCAAGCTCAGTTATTCCTCCTGCTCTATCAGACAACTCTATTTTCCTATTCTGGTTAAAAGGGAGGAAGGCGAATCTAGTACCACAACTCTATAGCTGCCAACTGAACTTCTTGTCACACCTGCTGCACCTATCATCAGAGAAAATGCAAGACATCTCTCAAGTCCCCCCGTCAAAAGGACATCACTGATGAACTAGTACTTTTACATCCCATAAGCCCTGACTCATCTACTTCTCACACAATCTGGATATAGCAACACTATGTAACTGTATTTCTTTTATGTCCAGAAACACTAATATATTTTATACATAGTAATCACTAAAGCAGTACTTGATTATTTGCAATATCATTCTTATAATTACACACCTCTAGGAAGCAACATAAAAAAAATTACCTGACTCAATTAAGTACAAACAAATCACTTCTAGTGGATACTGTGCGGTAGGATAGATAGTTATCATTTCTTCACAGGCCTTCTTCAACCTAGTTGTCTCGTGAGGAATCTTGAAAATACAAGAGCATAATAAAGTGAATTCCATTAGCAGTGGAACATACTGACAGACATTTTCATAACTAGAAATAAATAAATTCACTTACTTTAGATAAGCACTCAATGAAATGCCTGTAAAGTGCTTGGTGATCTTCACTGGGAATACTCTCTGCTAAGTCCAGTGCATTCTCAAAGGCAGTTAAAAGCTGAAACAAATCAAAAGCTATTATGTAGACACTTAATGAAAAAAAGTGACACCTTCTGGAGTGTACTAAAACTACTTTATAAAAGCTTAGCCTTCAACTTATATGTTTGACCCTCATGATTCTTTTCTTTGTTTACTTCTTTGTGTGTTTGTTCAGTCAGTTTTTTAAGGCAAGGGCCTCACTCTGTCCTCCAAGCCAGCCTTGAACTTGTAGAAATCCTCCTGCTTTAGCCTCCCAACTGCAGAGATTACAGACTGAGCCACCACAATCTGTGTGGTCCTGACAATTTGAATGAGCTTTAAAAAAAATGTGTATGTAAGCTTTAAAATACATCTAATTCCAACTGACCAGCAGACCATATACTGAACTAGTAAGCGACAACTATAAATCTAAAACATTAGCTTAATAAAGCATTTTCCATCCCTGCTGACTGCTACAAAGTGGCCAGGGCATTATCTTATATGGTTCCATAGTATCACAAGCACATTCTTAGAGTAGGAAATCTTTATTCTTTAAGAAAAACTATAAAGTTGGGTTATACTTTTGACAAAAACCAAACAAAACAGATACAGTACAAGTATAACTGATTTTGAAAAAAATCCTGAAAGAGACCTTTTATATATCTTGCCCAAGAACCGAAAGCAGAATGGAAGGCAAGCACTTTACACCCTCCATTTCATTATATAAGTTGTACATTTGCAAGGGTACATTCACGACTTGATAAAATCCACTATACTAGTCACTGTCTCACTGCTGTGACCAGAGATGAAGATTCATTATGGCTCACAGTTGGTGGGACAGTCCACCATGGCAGAAAGCACAGTTCGTAACTGTCATGGCAGGAGCATGAAGCTGTGTGCTCACATTTGAGCAGCCCAGGATGTGACGAGGAGGGGGAGGCTAACATTCTTTTCCCTTTTGATTTGGTCGAAGAGGCCAGCCCCTGGGATGGTGCCACTCACATACAGGGAGGTCTCCCAGGGCAACCACCCCAGTTACTCTTTACCAGCAAGCATGCACAGTCACACCGGAGATGTGCGGATGCTGATTCACTCAAGCTGACGGAAACAGTCATCACAACCAACCCCTATCTCGTCACCTCAACATCTCTCTGGAAATTAGAAAGATAAAGATTGTAAAAATAAGGAAAATCTCACTTTTCTAATAAGGGTTAGTAAGGATAATGATCTCACAGTAAAGGAAACTTAACTTAATGTACCATAATTAAGTTTTTCAAATAATAAAGTATTACAAATGGAAAAATAAGTGACAATTTTTTCTGAACAACCATTATTTAAACTTCATCTCTTATCTTTTTATTTGTTTAACACCTAGAAATGAATTCTTAAAAGTATGTTATTAAGGACTAAGAAAAGGAGCACTAAAAGGAAGAATGGCAGAATACAGATAATGTGAAGGGTGAAAAACAGGGCAGGGGCTTTAATTAAGGAGTGGGAAGGGAGGGAAATACAGGCGAGGGAAGGAGGAGAAAAAAATAAAGAATTAATTTCTTTAAATTTATCAAAAATTACACACAGTACATAAAAATTTATAAACATATATGGTTTAAATGAGGTTAAACCACTTGGGCTGGCAATGCTCCCCTCAAGAGCCACACACTACCTAATTAAAACACAATATCAAGCATGATAAACTCCCTTTCAGGGTGGCAACACTGGCTATTGCTCTTGTCCTTGGTTGCCTCCCAGAGGCCTAAGGTAAGTCCCTGATGGTGAAGATACCGTGCCGTTCGGACACAGGACTGGGAAGATGGGAGCTGGATCTGAAAGCATCGCCCCTGAACTTCCACAGCCCAGCAGCTGCCAAAGGAAGAGGACCAGCCAATAGTCCTACCCAACTACTGAAGCCTATCAAGCACAACAGTGAAGCCTGACAAGAGATCCTAAAGACGCAGTGGTGGCACTCCTATCTCGGTGATAACCAGCAACTGTCCAGTTGGACTTAAGGCTTGCTCAACAGGAGGAAAATCACACCTAGTTCTGGAAACCTAGCCAGCTACTGAAGGCTCGTGAAGTCACGGGCCTTAGAGGAGAACCACATCACTAAACCAGCACGGTCCACTACATACGAATATGTGTAGCACCTACCTCACTGAGGAAGCTTCTCTTTGCAACAGAGCGCATTATAGAAAAACCACAACTGGTCAAAATGCAGAGAACAATTTAGGTCATGGCCTAAATAGATACAGCTTTAACACAACTCCCGCATCCAAGACTCACAGAGAAGTGGGGACAGAAAGACTGTAAAAGCCAGAGGATGAGGGAATCTGCTAGCAAACTGTGTCTTACAGCAACTGCAGGGAAGCACAACTATAACTCAATACAGACCTGAGCAAGGAAAACATTAAGAGATAGGTTGATGGAAGGAGAAACGCATGGGTCCCCACCCCTAAACAAACAACCACAGGAGACTAGGGAGTGCGGACAGCAAGAGGAGTATTCCCCAGGGAGGTGTCTCCTCACTGGTCATTTAATACCAAATGGTCAGCCCTGAAGTCATCCACAGGCAACCAACACGGAAGCCAGGGGTAGGGATGTGATGGACGAGTTGGAGGACAGACAGAAAAAGGAGCGAAATGTTGCAATTATATTTAATTTTTTTTGAGTAAATTAGCTAAGAAAAGTACAGGAGGCGAGGAGAAAGTGAAGAAAGAAGTGAATATGATCACTGAATGCCATAAATACGCATGGTTAATACATGTTTATTAAAATCGTCAGGTGTTGTGATACACTTCCATAACCCTTAGTTTGCAGGAGACTTGAGGCAGGAGGATCAAGAACTCCAGTCCAGCCTGGGATGTCATGAGACCCTGTCTCAAAGCCAAAAAGAAAACAGAGCAAACAACAAAACGTGTGTATGTGTGAGTGCGTACATGATGTATGTGAGTGTGTGTATGTACATGAGCGTACATATGTATGGATGTGTGCATGCATGTGTGCTAGTATGTGTGTGTGCATGTGTGTTTGAGTGTGCATATGTGTGGGCATGGGTGTGTATGTGTGGGCGTGTATGTGACTGTCTACGTGGGTGTGTGCATGTACATGTGTGAGCATGTGTATATGTGTGTGTGCATGGGTATGGATGCTTATGTGCATTTGTGTATGTGTGTGCATGTATGAACGTGAGTGTGTATAAGGGTGTACTGTGTGTGCATGTGTCTGAGTGTTTGCAGGTGTATGTGCTTGTGAATACATGTGTGCGTATGTGCATATCTGTGTGGGGACTGTCTGTGTGTATATGTGTGAGTGTGCATGCATGTGTGTATGTGTGAGTACGTGTATGTGCCTGTGTATGTATGTGGGGGAGTATGTGTCTATGCATGTGTGCATTGTGTCTGTGTGAATACATGTGTGTATATGTGCATGTATCTCTGTGTGTGCATCCATGAACGTGTACGTGTGTGTGTACACATGTGTATGTTAAATGGAGACTGGGAATAGCTCAGTGTTCAGTATGGCCCGAGAATGTTGTGCAAGTCACTAGATTCAGCTGCCAGCACAGAAAAACAAAAACAAAAACGGAGAAACAGAGAGGGCAAAAAGGAAAGAAGAATGAAAAAGGAAGAGAGGAGGAAGGAGAAGATGAAGGAGGGCGACATGGGGAAAAGAGGAGGGCAATGATACAATGGAGAAGGGAAGAGAAATGAAGACACAGAGAAACACGTATGCTCAAGAGTTTGGGGCTAGGCTGGGCAAAGTCCGATACTACTTTTTTTTTAATGAGTTATTGTCCATGAAGTATAAGTAAGTAAAAAATATATTTAATAATTTAGGTGTAAGTTTGATACTGTTAACATACACTATTTTAAAAATTAGTCAGGCTATTCTGTAGATAGAGATTTAAAAAACTGATGAGCCACCCAATTTGGTGACTCCTAAGTTTCTTCCACAACTGATGCACACAGCTAAGTCATTATGACTACAGCTTATAATTTGGATCTAAATATCCTTGGAAGGCATGTGTTGAGGGTTTGGTCACAGCCTGTAGGGCTCTTGGTGGGTGGTAGAAGCTTCAGGAAGTAAGGTGGTGACAGGGAGGGAGGTGGCCCTGGAGGGGTACTGGGCCCTGGCCTTTCCTTCGGCTCTTTCCCTCCCAGCCCCGACAAAAGGAGCAGCTTCGTGGACTTCCCACCACGATGCCTGCCTTGCCCCACACACAAGGCAGCAGGGAGCAGTCAGCCCCCCTGAAACCTCTACAGTGTGAGGCACGGTAAACCCTCCTCGCTAGCTGGTTCCCTCAGGCATCTCACTGGGTGACAAAACGTGACTAACAGAGACACATCGCATTCTCACACTCTCAACCCTTTGGGGACGGCCTGGCACACAATACATCCTCCATACTATCTCTAAACAAAAGAACGAACTGACGAGTGATCGAGTGAACATACACAGAGTTTCCATTGTGTACAGTCTGGAACTGTTAAGATTTTAAACTGCACTCAATTTAAGAAGTGTACACTGAGAAGGCATTTATCATAATAAAAATTAAGTTACTTATATAACAAGTATATGAATTACACCTAAAAAGTACAACTTCTAGAAGTTCTAGCAGTTTGATGAAAGTCAGTTTGTACATAGTTTCCTTTCTACAGTAGCTAAGTTAATGACATATTATGGATTCTTATGAACACAGTATCTGAAAGTCTAATGTTCTAAGACCCAAGTGCACCCCTTCACATTCCAGAGACTGTAGGGAAAAGTTTCTCTTTTTATCAGCAAGAAAGAACCTCTATGAATTTAAAACTGAGCATACACAGCGCTCACTGTCCCAACACACAGTCCTCTGCTGTGTTACTTCATTAAGTTATCAATTTTCATGATGTAAAGCGTGAGAAATAAACAAGGTGTTACCATCTGCTGTGTTTCATTATTCTGATCTTCTATATTCTCAGACAGCAACTGTGTCAATTTTCTCCACAACTCATGAAGCTCTTGCTTATCTGCTCCATCTTCTTGCCGTGTCTTTATCAATTTATACCACGTCCGAGACACCTATTGACAAGGAGATTTAAAATAGTTATGTTACCATAAACTTAAATGTTAAACCTAAAGACCAAAATTATTTCACCCATTAACATGTAAAAATAGCAAAAGTATGATACCCCATTCTATATGAACTCCAACATAAAAATAAGTTAATCAGGTAAATGTCCAGAGCCCTTCTTTCAAAAATATCACTAAGATATAAGAGATATAACATCCCAGGCCCACAATTCAAAAGGTAACCGAATGGCTCACTAAGCTCCAGGGTGCACTACTTAGTAGACTTCAGCCAGTTTTAAAGTTAAAAAGTCAGGATATCCTAAATTTGAATTGTAATTCACAGTTTCAAATTTTCTCAATTTCTCAAATTTTTTGTATCATACTTTACCTTAATTTCTCAAATTTTTTATATCATACTTTACCTTAATTTTTAACTTTCATTAAAGCTAAATGAAAGCTTTTTCCTATCATACTTTTGTTGAAAGTACCTCAGAAGTAATTAACCAACCTCTAGGTATTTCTTTTCCTGGTGATGCAGATCCACGAGCTTCCTACAGACATCACACCACTTCTGCCTGTCAACACTTAGGTTAAAGAAAAAGAAAAAGAAAACTTAATTTGATATGAGAACACCCAAAGTCTTAAAAGCCTGAAATATTTGAAATTACAGTGCTACTTTACACAGAAAGCCCTTCATAAAGGATGAGGAAAGGTCACCTCATTATCTTGATGCAAAATTTTAATATTTTAAAGTTTCAAAAAGAGTCAATCATCTTGGGAGTCTTTCAGTCTATTTCAATCACAAGAAATTTTGTGACAAACTTACAGAAGATAATTGCTTGTAAATTCTCAGTAAATGTTTACATTCCTTCTCTCTGTGATGGATGTTCCTGGTTTTTAACTTGACTACATCTGGAATTAACTAAAATCCAAGTTGGTAGGTACAGCAGGAAGGGATTTTTCTTGACTGAATCATTCGAGGTGGGAAGACCCATCTTAAAATCTGGGCCACATCTTGGGGTGGCAGCTACATGAAGGACATGAAAGAAGGACGCTTGCCCTTTGTCTGCTTGTCCCCACTCTGGCAAGTTCACTTCTTCACTGGCAGTATGGCCTACTTCTCTGGGATTCCTGAGTTTATCAAAGCTCACCATTAGATTCATGGACTTTCCACTGCTGGAATAGCAGGACCACAGCCTGTGAGCCACGCTAATAATAAATTCATTTCTACATGTGTAAATTCATTCTATCAGTTTTGTTTCTCTAGAGAGTCCTAACTAACACACTTGTATATAATTTCTAATCACTCTATTGTAATTCAAGCTTGTAAAGAAACTAGCCTTTGCCACATATCCCTACCTTTCATAGAGATCCAACAGCTTCTGGTAAACAGCAGGTAAATCATCCTTGGCATTTACGTGATTACACTTCTCGTACAAACTTGCTAGCCCCTAAAAGAGGAAGCAAAATGTCTCATGTCCCCACACTTACTTACTGTGTGAAATAATGTACTAACATATAAAAATTACCGTAGTTTACAGATGAAGTATGTGTGGAATTTCCTTCCAAGTAAACTGAAGGTAGAACAGAGTCTTCACACTTAAAGTGTTTATATTTAAAAACTCATTGGGTAGAAAGGTAAAGAGTGATAAATAGTATCTTTGGCACCTGAAACTAACTTTCAGATTTATAAAATTTATTTTTTTCATGAGGTAGATTTAAGTACTTATTTTAACACTGGAATTTATATTTTGAAAAATGGAAAACAAATGCTTTCCCTAATTACATTTTGAGAAATAAGCATGTCTCCATACCTGCCAAGCGAGTAGCTGCTCTGGCTCCAGTTCGGCAGCTTTCTTATAGGCACCCTGGGCCTGCTCAGGCTGCTCTAGCTCAGCTGCAGCAACACCAATAAAAACCCAGGCATTATAGTTATTTTTCTCTTGTTTTAACACTGTCTGATTAAAAAAATTAAGAGTAAGTCATTACATTTTGGAAACTACCGAACAAACAACAAAACAATAGTCTGTTATGAATCACACTGCATCTGCCACCAACAGAGCGCCCTTTAAAATGGTACCTAGCCAGGTACTGTGAATGAAAAATTGTAAACGGTTTAGAAAAGAAGGTGTCTTTCTGTAAAGTGCCGAGGGATCTTGATACCCACATCAAATGCCTCACCTACCTCATGATTATACTGAGGAGAAAAGAATGGTAATGCCCAGCCCCATTCTTGCCTACACATCACTTTACCCACTCCAGTATTTTCTTTTCCATAATAATATTTTGCCATTTTAAAGACAGATTCTTCATGGCAGTTAGAGGTAAATTCACCCTAATATAGCTACACCAAACATGTTCAAAATAAACAGTGGCAATGAACGTTGAACTAATATACCTGCCATCGAGAACGAAGGTATATAGAGATCATGCTTTCAGGAATAAGAGCTCTTTGGGATGGACATCAGAAAAGGAAGAAAACAGGGAACAGGACAGGAACCTACCACGGAGGGCCTCTGAAAGATTCTACCCAGCAGGGTATCAAAGAAGATGCTGAGATTCATAGCCAAACTTTGGGCAGAGTGCAGGGAATCTTATGAAAAAAGCAGGAGATAGAAAGATCTGGATGGGACAGGAGTCCACAAGAAGAGCAACAGAACCAAAAAATCTGTGGAAAGGGGTCTTTTCTGAGACTGATACACCAACCAAGGACCATGCATGGAGTTACCCAGAACCCCTGCACAGATGTAGCCTATGGCAGTTCAGTGTCCAAGTGGGTTCCCTAGTAATGGGAACAGGAACTGTCTCTAACATGAACTCAGTGGCTGGCTCTTTGATCACCTCTCCCTGACAGAGTGCTCCCCTTACCAGGCCACAGAGGAGGACATTGTAGCCAGTCCTGATGAGACCTGATAGGCTAGGGTCAGAGGGAAGGAGAGGAAGGCCTCCCCATCAGTGGCTTTAAGGAGGGGTATGGGAAGAGATGAAGGAGGGTGGGCAGGATTGGGAGGGGACAAAAGAAGGGGCTACAGCTGAGATACAAAGTGAATAAACTCTAATTAATAAAAAATAAATTAATTAAAAAAGAAAAAGAAATAAGAGTTCTTGCTGCTCTAAAGTAGAGAGCTTAAAGCAAGATTAATATGTGTATCTACACACACGTCCAGCAATCTGTCGCCACTGTACTGTACAAGCTGAACTCTCTCCAATGCTGCTGCCTCCTACAAAACTCATACAGTATCTGCCAAAGTCAAACTCTAACGCTAGGGGCTTGTTCTGCCTATGCCACAAACACCGAGCACTTGATAAGCACTGATAAGCAACCCAAGCTACATGTCAACTACCAATTACCAATTACTGTGTATCTGAGATACATTTTTTAAAGAAAACTATCACATACAAAAAAATGTGGGGAAAATAAAAAATTCTGAGAGAACACAAAGAAAAAAGTACCATACTGTATGTCCACAAACTGGAGCCAGCTTCCTCAAAGGAATGCTTATCCCACGATGTAAAGCTCCGAGGGACAGAACCACAGCAAATACACTCTCCGGTAGTTTTTCTTTAGTCTCAATCAGTTCTGGGTTACTACAGATAAGAGACATCTGCCATGGCTTTGTTTTCCACTTTGTTCTCCCATTTATAGCTGGATTTTGCCGTTATAAATTATAAACTACTTGGTGAAATTTATGTCACATTTTTGCAGAATACCTATAGAAAGATACCCATGCTAACCAATATAACAGGAACATGGGCCAGCAAAATGGCTCAGTGGGTCACCAAGGATTAAGGAACTAAGCTAATTCTCTAAAACTCACATAAAGATGGGAAAAGAGAATTGATTCCACAAGGTTGTCCACTGATCTCCACATGTGCAGGCCTATATACAACATACACACCCAATAACAGTTATAATAATAACTTATTATTGAGAAGCATAAGCACACGTGCATTATTAGTTAGGCACCTCAGTGCTGGAGGAAGCCGTCCTCTCATCTCACTGCACATATTCGCCACCCTCCACTTGGACAGTCTGCACCTTGTTTCAGGCTAGCACCATCATGGCTGCATATGCCTGCTAGTCGTAATCAGCAATACACTTTTATGAACATATCTCTGACATTCAGAGCAGCTGGCACTTTCCCTGGACCTCACAGACAAGTAAATAATAAACCTTGCGACCATTTAAGACTTAGGACTGCTATCCTGCCGTGTATTCAGCCAGTTTGTTTAACCTGCCTTTAAGAGTACAACGAAAGAAACAACGTTACTTGCTTTGGATTTCCCATGTAATACACAGGTTTGATCTTAAATTGCATATTCTTTCATGCCGCTGATCCAGAGAGAAATGCATGTGTGTCTGTATGTGTGCTATGACAATCATTCGCTGAAAACAGCAGTCCAGGTCAGCAACATGGATATAAGTTAATAAGTCTGTTGAGGTTTCATTGCTATGTTTGCTTTCCTCGGTGCTTCCGGACCAGTAAAGTTCAGTCCCTTACAAAACTGTTAAAGACTTCTGTAAAGTGTCACCCATTCCTTCCCTCTGTGATGCTTTCTATGCTCATCAATAAAAGAGTGGGAAAAAGCCCTCTGCAAGGGACAAACTCATGAGACAGCACTCAAGCAGGCACAGGCGAAGACTCACATGCACCAGATCACACAAGCCCAGACCCATAAATTGCACACAGATGGAAGACACAGGGAGGGAAGCAGGAACTCAACACTGGGTTTGTTCCAGGCTAAAGTACTCCGAGAGGAAGTACTTTGATCTTTTTCCTTGTGAGTATGTTCTGGTGCCTCGGAGGCCATTAACTGATGCGCCTACCCACTGAATTCAATTTCTGTAATGGTCTTACTATAACAACTGTAGGCCTCTGGACTCTGACTTTTGAAGCCCCATCCTTCCTGCCCCTTTTGTTTCATCTCTCTGTTGATCCATAACTGTCATACCTACTCTGTCACATATTCTTGACTCTCTCCCTTCCTCATTCTTACCATCCATAACTGACAGATTTCACCTTAATAACACAACTTCAAATGGGCACTTACTAGAGCAATGTTTGCTTCTAATTCCTATTCACAATTTTTCCCACCATGAGTAACTAACTGCTTTTGTCTCAAATATCCTCAGTGCAACTCAATACATATGTCACCAAAAACAGAAGCCACCAGAGAAAAATGTTCTCCCCTATTTGGCCGCCCCCCCAGCCAAATCAACAAATAAGAGTCCTGTATGGATCTGAACCTAACTTTTCTCCTGCTAAAAGAGATGAACTAAAGGCCTCTCTCATGATCTGGACCACACCCTGTCGCCTCCCTAAAGACTTCACCTCTACTACCTCTGTCTCTCTAGTATATTCAATTTCTCTCTTTAACCGGAACATTCCCATCAACACACGAGGAAGCTTTAGAATCTTGATTCTTCTACTCACTGATCAGACAGAAATCAGAATATCAACATACCTTAAAATAATAAAAAATGCTGGGTAGGCAAGGTAGCCCAGTGGCTAAGTTCCTGCTACTAGATCTAACGACTGGAGTTCAAGCCCCAGGACCCACAGTGTTAAAGGTGAGAACTGATTAATACAATTTGTCCTCTGACCTTTACAAGCACAACACACACAACAGACACATTTTTAATGTAATACAAAGATAATAATAATAACAACGCTAAAGTACAGTGGTACTCTGCAATGCAAGGTGCTTATGATACTTCTGGCTTTGAGAAATATGGCTTTGATACCTTAGCAATAAAGAAAATCAAGTGCAGCAATAGAAGCCACTAATAAGGAGAGAGGAGTCCAACTGCTCTACAAATGCTACCACTTGACTGAATTAGACAATAAATGATTATATCTTAAAAATAACCCATGAATTGGTAATGCATTTAACTGCCAATGAAACAATATGCTTTACCTTGCAATGTTTCAAAGCTTCTTTATATTCTTTGTTTCTGATGGCATCTCTTGCACTTTTTAGAGCAGTCTTCACTTCTTTGCTAGACATTCTATCAAGACAAGAAACCACAGTGAGTCTACAATAATACCTCCCTAATGATAAGTCCCAATAGGCTTAACCATCTGAAAGAGACATCTGATTCCTTCTCTCTGGAATATGCTTTCCCTCCTACCATACACACAGTTCATTCCCTCAGTTCTTCAGATTTCTACTCAAATGTCTCCTCTCTTTGGGCCCCTCCCTGGACAAGCTACTTAAGATTTTAATCCTTCCATCTCCTACCTAAAGCCACCCATATTTCCTTATGCTCTCCCCTTGCTTTTTCCCTTCATAATGCGTAACACATCTATGTCTTTAGTCTATTATATGTATCCTATCCCCAACAGAATTGCAGTTCTGTATGAATAAGATTTTGCATGTTTTGTTGTTCCATCTCTAGGACAAATGACAAATGATGGTGACCAATAAATACGTGTTGAAATGCAGCTGTATCAGAATTATACTCTACACTTTTAGTAAAATACAGATGATCTTATGAACAAGGACCTTCAATGTATAGTAATCCCAATCCAATTTTAAATGCAAGATCTCTAGTGACAATTCTGGAATTTTGGTTTCTTTTAAACACACACATATAAGAATATCTTCATTTTAATCCCATGTGGGGATTTGGGGCTTCCTTGCAGCAGCTGACTATAGTTTGCCTTGTGCTCTAGCAGAGGCGTGGTTTGGCCAGCTGCAGACAGTTTCTGCGATTGTATGACGTTTGGAACTCTGGAAACTTTTCAGAAGGTGTATAAATGGTAAAGCCCTGACAGGTGATTTGGGTAGTTGCTGGTCGTTCAGAGAGATTGGCTGTGGTTTGTTAAAAGTCGTACTCGAAGAAATAAAAGGAAAGAAATTAGAGTAGGGAATCTCTCTCTCTCTCTCTCTCTCCTCTCCTCTCTATCCTTTCTCTCCTGTCTAGGGATAGGAGGTAAAGCCAGAGGTGGAGGGATGGAATATGTCTGGAAGAAGAAGAACCACAAAGCAGCAAAGACCAGCTGCAAAGATCCAATAGAATAAGCTCAAGACAGAGAAAAACATAAATAGCTTTAGTAACTAAGATGGAAGAAATTTTTAAAGGCTAAGAAAGTTATTCTAATAGTAGATTCTGAAACATATAATCAAGATGCGAACTGTATTCATAGTGAGGATTACTGTATTACTTTCTCTAATGAAAAATAAGTATAAATGTTTGCATATGAATAGAAGAGTGGTGACTTTGCAAGAACTGTACACTACTTTCTGCCATGAAGAGATACTGCATATGTCCAAGTGTGGCAGCATATTCCTGTAATCCCATCACTAGGGAGTTGGAGGCAGGATAATCAGAAGTTTAAGGCCATCCTCTGCCACATAGCCAGTTCAAGGCCAACTTCCCATAAATGAAACCTAACACTTTTTTACACTAATTTAAATTTTTTAAATTTCATTTTAGAAATTTTAAAGATTTTACTTTAGAGGCAATTTATTTTATTTAATATTAATATTAAAGTACATTAATTTGACTTTAAATAAAGTAGCCCATGTTAATATTTTACAAGTTACCGACTTAACCCAAAACAAATGCAATCCCAATTCTTTTTTTTTTACAATACAATTCTTAAAAGAGAGAAACATTTGTATTTTCTGCTGACTCAACCTATTTCTACAGACTTCAGATATTCAGGGAAGCAAACTGAGCCACCACCACAGCACACTACCATAGTATTCAAATACAGTTATGGGACTCAGTAAACAGTCTACCGCAGCAAGCATGCTAACACATTACACAAGCGGAGTGCACGGACTGTGCACTAACACGGTAATGAACACAGTTTATTAACATGCTACACTAGCACAGTACACAAATACTGTAGACTGCCACGTTCTGTAAATGCAACACCCTAACACAGTGCACGAACATTGTAAAGGCAACGTGTTAACACAATACTCTCATGCAGTGCACTGAGATAGTGCCTTAACACAGCACACCAGCACAACACACTACACAATATACTCAGGCAGTGCACTGAGGCGGTAAGCTATACTACACACAGACACAGCACACTAATACACTGTAAACGAAACTGTTTACAGTACACTAACACTGTATACGAAGAGCACAGGGACATTTTACCCTAACACAGTCTATCATGCGTATACTAACGATATTCACTAACACACCGCACTAATTTACCATTACAGCCGTCCACCGACGCCCTACACTAGCATGCTACATTAACACAGAACCCTAACACACTACACCAGCAGTGCGCTACCACGGCACACTGACACAGCCTACTCACACAGCGCACTCACAGAACACTACCAGCACACGCTAGACAAGCTGAAATGCACAAGTACGAAACAGAAAAAAGAAGTCTACAAAGTTAGAGATCTGAAGATAAGGTTGCTTTAACTTAAAGAAAACTAGCACTCAAAATAATATAAAAATTAAGACACTATAAAGTCAGTTTATGTGTGATGCATTCAGATTTCCCAAATATAATTTAGTATCTTGCTACAATAATTACTTAATTTCAAACTGCACCTCACATTCTGTCATCTTTGAACGACTACCTTACCTGAAAGTATCTTGATATTGACTTAGAGGTGAACTAGAGAAGAAATGCTTTCAGTCTACAAATCTTGATGGCACGGTTAACAGTGTGGATTTCACATGAAGTTTCTCAAGCCACGTTCCTTCTGCAAGGTAACCTGTAGAGTAAAAAGAAGAGATCATCGAGGATAACTGACCTAGACAAATAGAGACAACCAAATTAAAAAATAAAATAAAGATGACCTTGGGTGGGCGCACACACGAGGAAGAAACAACTATCTCCACGTGGGCTCCAAGCGCATCAACGAGATAAAAGGCCCTGCTGGCCTGAAGAATACAGTCTAACTGAGGAGAAACATCTAAGGCTCCACATGAACCACTAGAGAACCAAGTGCTAAAATTAAAAGGAAAAGCAATTTAGAGAAGGAGTGCTGTGTAAAGTAATAACCCACTAGAAGCCTGAGCACAACAATGTGGAGAAGAAAGGAAATCACTGCCGTCAAGACATTGTATAAAGAGAAAGGAGAGAACAGGAAGAGGAGAGCAAGAAGGGAAGCAAGAGACAGAAGGAGAAAACCACATTGAACAGAGCAGAGCAGATCCACCCAATATCAGAAGCAAACTGGGAAAAGTAGGGCAGAGCTGCCTGAGCTTACGGCTCTTGAGTCAGGTGGGCAAGCTTAGATTAAGGACGGCAGGGAAGCTGCAGAGACGGTGTGAGCCACTTTAATGCCCCCTAGAAACAACTGCACTTTCTCTTGGTAGCAGCTGCTGCACTCAGAACCTTCCATATCTATGTGTTTCCACATGAACTTTCTTTAAATAGGAGAGGAAGAGGCCATTAACCTCTTCTGTTTTTTAAATAAACATTGAAAAACTGACCATCAATTAAGAAGCATACAAAACTTTTCCTTTCATGAAAAATTCATTGTCCAAAATTATCCCATCTATCCCTATGCTCATTTTAGGATATTTTCTTCAATGCTAGGCACTTCTAAGACCATAACGCCTTTGAAAGGCTGCAATATTATTGTACAACTCTAATATTTTCCCACCATTTGCATACATTTTGCATACTTTTATGCAACAAAAAATTTCCTACTACCAACTTAAAAGATTTTTATTCAAAGTAAGCTCTAAAAGCAGCAATAACTATATTTCAGAGTTAGAAAATAAGCCACAACAAAAAGTAATATCAACCCTCAAAGTTATCAACTATGGATAAATGAATTGATATAACTACTCCAGCTAAAGCTAAAAGAACTTTAAAGAATATTCAGGATGCACATCCAAAGATTCCATAAAATAAAAAATAACAATAGTAAAAATCAGAAATGGTCACGACAAAGTAAGTTATAAAATGGGAAAAACAGTAACAGTCAAATAACAAAAGTCTGAAGGTATTTGTTTTGATCTGTAGTATGATACAAAAAGAAATCTATCATTAGTCCCTCTATAGAAGGACCTAGAAGGCATCATTGAGTAGAGACAGACAGATGGCTCGGGAGTGAGCATGGCACTCACCTCTTACCATGCCTGCATCTTCTTCCTGAACTGAATGTCAAGCTGTTCCTTACCCATTTTTCACCTACATTAGGTAAAGACAAACGTAAGATAGTGACTTACAACACCCAAACCTTCTACATTTTTAAAAATCAGTTCACCATGATCAAATTTAAAGCATGAGAAATAATTCTCGTTGACTTTTGATCTTTCATCTTTCTATACAGCCACTAATCGTCATCTCTAAATTTCTGAGCTGGTGTAAACCAGGACTTACACTATTTCAATCATGACTGCTTTTCACCTGTAAAATGTCACAAGCCTGAGAATACAGGCATATAAACGAAGGTATACAATCAAATGCTTATGACAGTAAATCATAAAAAATTTATTTTAAAACAATTCTTTGGTATACACATAATTTGTTAAAGAACAAAGGAAATTTACATAATAGTGAAATGAATGTTTATTCCTACAACAAAGAATTGAATCTTGGCTGGATATTTGATATGGCAAAATACAGAGTATCTTCAAAAACTTTTAGAAGCTTCAAAATCACTATTTTGATTTTAGAATTGTCAGTGCTGAGAACACTCCTTCCCATATACAAAAGTGACAATTAGAGCTATTTCAGAAACTATTTGAAATCCTGCCTTCATCCCAAACCAAAATTCACTCTCTGATTTTTCTTTCCTTTCTTTTTTTTTTTTTTTTTTTTTTTTTCCAAATGAGTCACTGAGTTTAAGTAGGGCTACTCCCATGAACATGAGTGCAAGTTATTTCCTGGATCATGGGCAACTTAACAGTGGTTACGTCACTGCAGAAAAGAATTCTCCTTCTCCTAGTAACCATCAGTTGCCAATGGCGCCTCAAGAAGGAATCCTTATCCACTAGAAAATGAGGATGGGCCTGGCCTTTTAGTAAGGCTTGTGCAGGCAACCACGGTTTCTGTGATTTCATGAGTATGTGCGTGTGCCATAGCCAGAAAAAAAGTATTTCACAGCATCCCCCCCTGAGTTCTTACATTGTTTCTACACTCTCCCCACTACGCTCCTCTAGAGATCTGAAGGGATGATACAGATGCACCATTTAAGGACACATACTCAAAAGTCACTAATTCTTATATAATTCTATCTTCTATCAATATTATTATACTGCAGTCCCATTCATGATGGTGATACAAAATTTCCTTCTCAGGACAAATGCAGCTAATATTATTTATTATGTGACCCCGTGTAATGGACCTGATCTCTCTGGATGGCTATTTCTTCATTTATAATATGGGGAAACTAAAAATACTTCAGAAAAAAAAGTTTTGCAAATCAAAGCATACAAATGTGATTACCCCAAAAGAATGAGAGCTCAATTCATTCTCCGGCCTCCAGGGACCCAGGCACAGGGTCAGTGCTAATTTATATCAACTTGACATAGGTTAGAGTTGTCTGAGAGAAGGAAACCCCACTTGAGAAAATGCCTCCATAAGACTGGGATTTCGGCAAACCTGTAGAGCATTTCCTTACTTAGTGACTGGTGTGGGTGCCCAGTCCACTGTGGGTGGCCACCTCTATGATTTATGCTTTTATGAAACCCAAATCAACAAGCCAAACAGCAATTTTTTAAATCAAGCATTCTAAGACAACTTAATCTGAAGATGTATTAATATGATGCATAGATGCTAAGTAATAATGGTAGGAAATTTTTAAGTCTTTGTTTTCCATAAACCATTATGTGTCTGTAAGAGCAGAACTGAGAGTTAGTCCCTATTGATGAAAACACTTCAGACACAGAAGATAAAGGAAGCAGGCTGGATCTGACCTAAAACTCTCCCCTTGGGGACTGGCTTTCATGGTGCTGGAAGGTATCATGTAAATTGACAAGAAGAAGTAACAAATAATCCTACCCAGCTATGACATCTGCAAGCCACAAGATGACCAGAGCAGCAAAAGATTCCCAAAGGTACAAGCAATAGCGGCACTGATATTTGAGTGCGAGCCAACAGCTGTCTAATTGATGTAAGATCTGCTCAATAGAAGGAAATTCTTTCCTACTACTAGAAACCTAAACAACTATCCATTCCTGGTCAGGCCTGGGAACAACGCAACAGAATTTTTAACTGTTCTAGAGAGATGTGTGCTCTTTCTCAAAAGCAAGAGAAAGTCATATTGTTTGGAGCCCCTTATATAACCAATCTGTGTTGGATAGTCTTACGTCACCTTGATACAAGCTGAAGTCATCTGAGAGGAGGGAGCCTCAAATGCCTCCATAAAACTGGGCTGCAGACAAGCCTGTGTTCATTTTTAGTGGCTGATGGGGGAGGCCCAATCCATCGTGAATGGGACTACACCTGGGCTGATGGGCCTGGGTTCTATAAGAAAGCAGGCTGAGTAAGGCATGAAGAGCACGGCAGGGAGCAGCACCCTTCACGGCCTCTACATCAGCTCCTGCCTCGAGGTCCCTGTCCTGCTTGAGTTCTTGTCCTAACTTCCTTTGATGATGAACTATGATGTGGAAGTATGAGTCAAATAAACCTTTTCCTTCCCAAGTGGCTTTGGTCACCACAGCAATAGTAACTCTAACACAATCTTGTTGAGTAAAAACATAAAACACATGACTGATGATCCAGCTTTCACTGAAAGGCATGTACCAACACTCACTCGTGTCACTCTTTTGGACATTCCTCCATTTTCTAACTGTGTTTAATTGCTTCTCCCAACTACTCAGCCGGCTTATTCTGACTTCTATTTTCACGTTACTCATAATTCAAGACCAAGTTGAAGTGCCAAGCACACAACCGCCACCATACCAAATTCACACCAATCTGATTCTGAAGCATCTATGCATGCCCTCTACCAGCATCTCCAAAAATATATTCCAAGGAACATGCTTAAAGGCATTGCTCCCTGGTGCTGGAAATTTGTGTCTACCATACAGATCTCAGTCTTCAGTCACAATATACATTGGCATCTTAAAGCCTCTGGGAATCCAAATACCCCAATACAGCTGAATGCAGCAACTCTGAACTTCTACCATCCCAGAATACCCACCTCGCGGAAAGCCAGCTGACATTTTGAAAACACTAGCATGCTCCAGAACACTACTTAGAATATTACTCCTTTTGCTTTTTTTGTGGATTTTTTTCATTCAACTATTATTCATGTTTTTAAAACCTTTTCTAGTCTTATTAGACTTTTACAAGTATGTGTATCTGTATGTTTCCCAAAGGTGATTGAAAGGTTTTGGGAAATTCTGTTGTTACTTTGGATATTTAAAGACCTGCAGTGGACCATAAGATAGACCCAGACTATTCAACCCAAGACCTCTCCAACTTCTAAAGAGCAGAGTATTTTTACTGAAGCAACCTGTCCCTAACATGGAAATCATTAGCTGATGATGTAAACATGATAGACAGATAGACCTGAAGCTCTTGTGGAAATAATTGCATCCCTCTGTTATATAGTAATTTCTTCCAAATTAAAACATACCATTTTGGAGAGATGCTCCTTTAGACTCAAAAAATAAACAAAGATCATAAGGCTCAAGAAATAAATATCTCACAAATCTCAGAAACCATCTGAACCTTACATGATTAACAAGGCTGCTCCCCCAGGGTAAAATAACTGTAACAGCAAGTGTGCGGTAATGTGGTGCGGGATACTCTCCAAGTGGCTGAACTATTAACAGGTTGTACAGGAAGTTTCAAGAACACAGCCTTCACAAATCATCACCCATGTTGCAATGGGTTTTTCAGTGATGCACCTACCTTGAGTCACCATTCCTGTAAGTAACCCCATACCCATGCTCTGCAAACCCAATAAGCTCATTAGTTCAGCAAGATGAACTATGGTAGAGTTATTCCGATCTATCACTGGTGTCCTATCTGGAGTGAATAGATGTTTGTTCACGTTTCCACAGGAAGACACATAATACTCCAAAATTCACATATCCAAGCACCAGTCCCAGTACTTCAGGACACAATATCAGCAAAGCACAAAGGTAATGAAGGCTAAGTGAGATTACATAAGAAGGCCCCAATCCAATGTGTCTCCCCTAAAAGAAAAGAACTGGGGTAATGCACAAGCACAGACAGAGCAGGTGCAGACATGCTGAGAAGGTGACCATCTACCAGACAGCAACACCGCCCTCAAAAGACACCGCACTTGGCAAAATCTGGACTTCTGAAGTTCAGAATTATAAGAAAATAAATGTCTGTTGTGATATTTTGTTATATCAGCCTTTGCAAACTAAGCCACAGTCCCTATCCTGAACGTTACCTAACTACAGGAACACGTGCACACATCAAAGCTCCCTTGCTCGAAGAGGGACTTGATTAACAAAAGCATTCTATGTTTAGAAGGCAGTCACTAAAACAATGAAGAAACCTGAAGTAAAGTGACAGCGAGCAGAAGGACTGGAGAAAGACTACTAGAGGAGAGGAAGTGGGAAGACACTTTATCCTTGTAATAGCAAAGAGCAATGAATAAATGAGGGCTTAAAAGTAAAGACGACTTCAGCTCAACTCAGAACTTCAAATACTTAAACCCACACAAATGCAGAACAAGCTGCACCAATGCTGGAACATTATAGGAGGATCATTATAGGACCTACTGAACGTCAAGGAGCAGAAGCCTTTTAGATTCTAGCAGCACACGGTCTCTGGGTCGCTGAAATACCTATGCTGCATCAACCCACTGCAGCAGCTTCCCTCACACAACAAGGGCAGAAAAAGACGCGCGCCTGTGGTCAGAATAAGGGTCTGCAGAAACAAAGTCGTCAAGAATGATCCGTGTTCAAAAGACCATTACTATGCCTAAAAAGCAGGCCAAACATCAATTTTATAAAACTAAATGCCAGCTGATACTCTTGCTGTAAGCATGGCCTACATTCCAAATCAGCACAATCTTGGGGAGCGTGTCCTACTGAGGAGGCAATGCACCTGGATGATCTTCCTCACTGTACTGTTACTTTACGTGTGCTGGGTGTCCTCCCTGCGAGTGTGAACTCCCAGGGGACAAAGAGTATGTTTTTGCAACTCCATACATATCTGCAGGGAGATGCTGCATTAACGTCTCTGCTTCACTAACAGAGACGAAACAGTGTATTTCACATAAAAGCATGTTACACAGTAAATATACAGTGGCTCAACAGACACGAAGCACATACCACTAATATATTAGATACGTAAGATATTTCCTTTATTATAATTATCCTGTATCAAACGCTGCCAGATATGAGGATTGAGCTTTTAAATAAACAGCCCAACTCCTCCTTTTACTGCCAGAAAATCAAAACAACCGGTTTGATGTACCTGAAACTATCAGTGAAGAATCTGACTTTGAGATAAAAACGTGCTTCTGCGAGAATTCTCCAAAGGAATCTAGCAATCTAAAAGGGGACAGCTGATTATTCTGCACCCAACAGTGTTACTCTGAGCCTAAGTCAATTAACCGCACACTTACGGCCCACATTTCTTCCTTTTGGAACCGGTTCCTTAGGCCTTTTCCCCCCTTTTGCGACTCTAAGAGCAAAGAGCAGCAAGCTTTTCCACATCTGGAACCTAAACCGTACTAGGCCCGGCTCTTCACCACATACAAGCACAATCCTTACTGCCCCGGCAAAAAGAGGCAAGACGATAAGGCAGGCTGCGCGACTCGGGTTCGGGAGCGCCGCAGAGATCCAAACCACTCCCCAGACCTCACCTGAGGTGACCCGGCCTTCAACACCCACGGGGGCACAGTCCCATCCAACTTAAGTGACAGCACTCCCACCTCATCACCGCCAAGTTCACTATGTCAGCGAACATTCACCCACGCCGTGCTGCGCGAAAGGAAGACGAGCCCCAACATCACCCGCCATGCCCAGTCCTTTCTCCCCCTAAATACCACTTCCCCTGCCTTTAGAGTTCAACTTCTGCCAAAACCGAAGGCAATCAGAACCCACCTGGTCTTACGAGACTGCCACAAAGTACAAGTCTGGATAGGGCATGCGCATTTCTCCAGCCAGCTCTTGGGTTGGAGGAACTGACTGAGCTATCTTTAACTCGAAGTTTGATTAAAATGGTCTTTACATGGGCTGAGAGCGCGAGTCCTTCCTTGCGCATGCGCCTGCTCAGAGCCTGCTGGGAGCTGTAGTTTCGCCGTGCCAACCACCATTACTTTTATAATCAGAACCCAAACTCCTAGTTGAGAGTCCCGTCCCTGCTCAGAACGGACTCGGCCGCCGCTTCTGAACGACCATGCCCGCGACGCTGCTGATGTGGGTGTCGGTGGTCGCAGCGTCCGCGCTCGCGGCGCCGGCCCCCGGAACACAGGCGCAGGGGCTGCAGGTGCCCAACGTAGTGCTCGTCGCCAGTGACTCCTTCGTAAGTACCTTGAGGACCTGGGGACCGACGTCGGAGAGAGCGCGTCGTGGGTGGGGAGGTCCTACACGCGCGTACCAGCGTACGTGTGCAAACATGTAAATTAGTAGTAAGAAGGCGGTCTCGAACTCTGGCTGCGGCGATCCTTCTGCCTCAACCTCTCTAGTAGAGTACGGCCGAGCGCCACTGGCACACATTTTTACCTTTCAGTGCTAGACTCGGTCCACTCAAGCCTTTTTGCCATTGTTAATTAATGTTTAGCCTATATCCTATATCAATTCAGTTATGAAGGGAAACGCATCGTTCACTTCCATAAAAGTGTATTCGTTTTCCAGAACCACATGACAGTTACCTACGTTTGCAAGAATGAAGGTCTAAGTGAGAGAGGAAGGAAATTTAACTTTATTATCTACAACAGTGGTTCTCAACAGTTTATTGCGACCCCTCGGGAGGCTTTGAATGACACTCTTAGAAGGGGTCACCTAAGACCATTGGGAATATATTTTTACATTACAATTCGTAACAGTAGCAAAATTATAGTTATGAAGTAGCCACAAAAGTAATTTTTATGGTTGGGAGGGCACCACAACATGAGGAACTGTATTAAAGGGTCGCAGCATTAGGAAGGTTGAGAACTACTAATGTAGACATTTAATAATTGTGTTAGCGCTGATTTAAATATTAGTTGTTAAACTTTAATCTACTATCTTGTTGTTTTTAAACAAAAACCCAAACGTTCGATTTTACCAATAAAGACTCAGGAGCCAGATGCTGGAGTGAAAGTACTACCTTGGAGAGGCAGAGAAAGCACCCAGCTGACCTTCCTACTCAGCCTACTCCCAAGAGGAAAAAGCCTTTTCTTCTTCTCCACACTGTTAAAAACCCTTCAAACTAAGTGTCCCTCCTTTCTAATTCTTGTGCATCTATCTAGCCATCCTCTGGACTTCCTCTCACTATCTATGGTTTTTTTTTCCTGTGTTCACTTCCTGTCCTCTGGTTACTTGCTTTGCATTTTGACCTAGGGCTAACTTTAGTTAACCCTGTTTACAGAAAGCTTTTAGATTAAATGTGTGTGCTGGGGCTGAGCCACACCACACCCACCTGTTTACAATAAACAGTTTTTGGATTAGAGGTGTGTTCTAGGGCTGAGCCACACCATAACTAAAACCAGGTTTTTCCAATGAGCAATCTTGGAGTTCACAATGTGATCAATTTTAAAGAATTGATCACAATGTGATCAATTATATATACATGTGTATATATAATTTTAAATTTTAATTAAATTCAAATAGAAACTGAAAGGACTCTGAATTGAGGAAAACACTTGAAAAAGAAGACTGATAAAAAGAATTTACAGTTTCAAAACTTATGATGAAGCTACAATAATCACAATAGTGTGTTACAAGCAAAAAGGTAAACATTCGGATCAGTAGACTAGATTTAAGAGTCCAGAAATAAAGTCTTATAAACAAGTAGTGCTGGAAAAATTAAATATCCACATTATAAAAAAAAAAAAAAAGGTTGGGTCTTGCCTTTCACTGTGTGTAAAAATTAACTTAAAAATGAATCAATGACTTGAATGTCAAAGCTAAGACTATATAACTCCTTCACGAAAATGGAAGTGTGAATTTTTATAACCTTGGATTAGGCAATTTAAAATGAGCCAAGATTTTGAAAAAGATTTTCTCATGGAATATACACAGATGGCCAATAAGCACATGAGAAGAAGTTAATCATTAGGGAAATGTAGAGCAAACCATAGTGAGACACTATGTAGATCAAATCACTTCATCCCCATAAAGATAGCCAGAATCAAAAGGGCATTTGGGTTATTTGAGAAGATAAAGGGAACCAAAGGAAAGGGAGGAGGCAATATAGAGGTAAATATGATCAAAGTATGAAAGTGTTGCAATAAGTCCATTATTTTCACAGTTACAATTTCTTCAGTATATATATAATGTGTGTGCATATATGTACATATATATATATATATATATATATATATATATATATATATATGGACGCACACATAGAGAATAACCAGAGTCAGTGAGAATATGGAGGAATTGGAAACCTCATAAACTGTTGACAATGCTCTGTGGCCGTGATGCAGCCACCTGGAAAAGCATTTGACAGTTTTTGCAGCAATTAACTAGTTACTATGCAATCCAGCAATTCTATTCCTAAGTAGGTATGTTTCTGTGTGTGTCCAAGTAAAATGAAAGCATCATCCACACAGATGGTTTTACATGGCAATGTTATGCTTCGTAATAGCAGTATTGTGCTAGAGGATGAAAAGTAAAAGCAACCTAAATATCCATCCACTGGTAAATGTATACATGAAATTTGGTAGTATTATTCAGCAAGCAAAAAAGAAACCTGAAACTCATGTTTGTTACAATGTGGCCAAACCTAGAAAACTCAGGAAAAGAAATGATGACAAACTGCAATTTATATGACTCCATTTATATGAAATGTCCAAAGAAAACACCTATGTAGAGACAGAAAGCAAATTAGTAGAGGCCTCAGTTTTGGATGAGTCCAGGGTGATGGCTGAGGGTTCTTCTGGGAATGATGAAAGTGTTTCAATGACGTTCTGAATACATAAAAAACCTTTGAGTTGCTCACTTCAACTATGTAAGTTGTATGTAAATTGTATGTGGATAGAGTTTGTTTTGTTTCATTTTTAAGAAAAGATAAACAGTACTTGGGCCTGGGCCATAAAGGACATGGGCGCCCCTCTGCACACACGCTGACCCGCCCCGCTGCTGCACCTACACTGCTTTTCATTTTGATGAGATTGCAGAGGTGAAGAGTGGGACAGGAATGTATGTGGCAGACTCTCCTAAGAATGTGGCGATAGGTCTGAGAGAGCTTTGTCACGGCAGGTGAGTCATTGTTTGACTCTTTGGTTAGGATAATGCTTTTCCTAGTTATCTTTAATTGTCAACATGACATAGCCTAAAGTTATCTGAGGGGAAAGCTCAGCTGAGAACCTGCCCAGATCACTAGATCACCCTGGCCTATGGGAGACTGTCTTGATTGTCCACTGATACAGCAGAGCCCAGAGCACTGTGGGCATCATCCCAAGGCCAGTCTAGAAGGTTCTGGGCTCCATTAAAGCACTGAGCCTAAGACAGTGAGTGAGCGAACGGAGGCCGAGCCAGCACACAGTGTTCTTCACAGTTTCTGCTTTTTAAGACCCTGCTTAGGTTCCTGTCCCAGCTTCTCTCAGCAATGAACTGTAACCTTGGAACTAATAAATCTTTTTTTCCAATGAGATGCTTTGGGCCATGGTTATGTTTGCCACAACCACAGAAAAGAACTAGAACAGTGCTTGAAATCTGAAACTCTTCCTTGGATCCTCCTTGACCCAGAATGATAAGTGCTCAGAAGTTGCACTTAGGATTTACTAAAATTTATAGCCACATCTGGCATGTAGCTGACATGTACAAAGCCCTGTGTTCAATCCTCAGTACCCATAATTAGGGTATACTAATGTATGCCTTTGATTCCCAACACTCGGGAGGGAGAATCTGTGACTCAGAAGTTCAAGGTCATTTATAGCAAGTCAGAGGCTGCCTGGAATAGGTGAGACTGTGTATATGAAAAAGTGTATATTCGTCCATATATACATATACATACATGTAATTCATATAAGTATTCAAGTGTGGTGGTTTGAATAGGTACGGCGCCATTTCTAGTACCATGCCAGCCTGAATGCTGCCATGCTTCCACCATGATGAAAATGGACTAACCCCTGAAATTGTAAGCCAGCCCCAATTAACCGTCTCCCTTTATAAGAGTTGCTGTGGTCATGGTTTCTCTTCGTAGCAATGAAACCCTAACTAAGACATCAAAGTTAATTTGCTAGTGTTCTTTTTCCTCTCCCACTGGGTATAAGTTTCTTGTAAATAAGACTTTTAACTCTCTATTATATCCTCAGATCTTGTAAGGTGCCTGATACATAAACACACAAGTATTTAATGTTTATTAAAAAAATTTTTAAATTATTTCTTCATTCTCCAAAAGAACTTTCCAAGAAGTCCTTTAACTTAATATATGCAAATGAATTTGAACATAACACTTTCAGATTTTATCTGGGTACTGGATCCTTAATAACATACCTCTGCCTTGTGTTTTATGCTTTTTAAAGGTTTCATACAAACATATTGAAGTCTTTTGGGTTGTGGATTTTATGTTTAAAATTAAAGGAAATATAAATATATTTTTTATGTTTATGTACATAAATGTGTGTGTGTATATATATATATCAATGAGATTAATCAGCAGTGGTTGAATTTCTTTATTTCAGGATGGAAGACTAACGTTTAAACCAGGAAGTCAAGTGGTAAAACTTCCCTTCATTAACTTCATGAAAGCACATGGCACCACCTTCCTGAATGCCTACACAAACTCTCCTATCTGCTGCCCATCACGTGCAGGTACGAATGTGCCTATAAAGTGTCTAATGCTAGTGGAAAGAGTCTAATCCCTAAAAGCACATTCATGTTTAAAATAGCATCTGCAAAAACCTATCATAGAGTCACATTTAGTACCTAATAAAAATGCCTCGGGGTAACTGGTGTTTCTAAGGTGTATACTGAATGTTGGGGTCATTTGAATTTCTAACTTGTTTTTATGAAGTAGGGATTTCTCTTGTCTGGGAGCTGTGTAGTCCCTGTGTTGCTGTTTCATTTTCTCAGATGAGAGGTACTCATACTTCAGAGAGTTCCACTTCCGGGAAAGTCTTTCTGTGGGGGTTTAGAGGAGTCAGCAGACTCTCTGGAAGATTCTTTCCAGTCACAACTTCTCATAATCATGTTTATCTTAAGTTTTCCAAATTATTGCAGGTTATATACTTCATCTCTTTCTATTCTGTCCCAATTTACATCTATCACAAATCTAAGAGCCCACCTTAGTGTAATAATTTAACAAATAGGCACAGTTCCAGTGACAAGCATGTCAGTGACTATAGCCATAAGTTTAGAAAATGAAAATTTGCTTTTAGGAATCTTGTCTAAAAGTTGTTCTCTTATGTCTCTGTGTGGGCTGTGATGACCTGCCATGGAACCCTGATAACATGAAGAGTTTTGTTTCTCTATGAGCCAATAGAGCCATAGAGATCGTGTGTAAAAATGTGTTTGCTCGTTTCTATACTGTGTTGACTAGGTTGAGCCCTGAGCTAAGGTGAGGCGATTCTAAGCCTTGGTGGACCCCGTAATGGAAGTAGCCCAGTTTTCCTCAGATGCAGAATGCTGAATGTGCTGTCCTACAGAGCAAATACGGTTGTCAGTTGGAATAATAAATGAGAAAGTGGTTCATGAACTCTGAAGGTTTCACAAAGATATTTTCCCTAGAAGAAGCATATTTTGACAAGGAATGATATAAAAAATTATTAGTGTATTCTCACTGTGTTTGGTGATATTGTAAATATCTTCTAATATTTTATAGATATTCCTCATACATGGTTACTTTTATTAGCCCAATTTGCAGAAGAAAACTAAAACAGAAAGTTTGCTTGGATAACATCTGAGGGTATACCAGAACTGTGGTTACTGGGATTCATACTCTACCACGCTCAGAAAGTATTTGTTAGAGAAGAAAAGAGAGGCATACAAAATGGCTCACATGATAAAAGTGCTTGCCCCATGGGCATGAGACCTGAGTTTGAATACCCAGCACCCATGAATTAAAAATATATATATATATATAGTAAATTGGTATAACAGTGTGTGCATGTAATGCTAGCACTGGGGAGGCAGAGACAGAAAGAGCCCTGGGGCTTGCTAACTGGCCAGTCAAGGCAAATAGCAAGCTGCAGGTTCAGGGAGAGCGAGGGGGGGTGGAGGCAGACATACAGAGAGAGAAAGAGAGGCAGAGAGAGACACACAGAGAGAGAGCTTATCTCAGATATGCACATGCACACAGAGAAAAGAAGGCGTGTCCAGCCTGCCATTTCTGCACACAGAAGTCATTAAGGAAAAGAAGCACTTTAATTAAAGTTTTAGAAAATGAGAGAGAACACAGAGCATTCTTTTTTATTTCCTTTTCCTAGAAAAACCTGGTGAAGTCCACAGAGGAAGACAATGCAGCCAGTCCTGATGAGACCTGATAGGCTAGGGTCAGATGAAAGGGGAGGAAGACCTCCCCTATCAGCAGACTGGTGGAGGGGCATGGGAGGAGAAGAGGGAGGGAGGGTGGGGTTTGGAGGGGATGAAGGAGGGGGCTACAGTTGGGATACAAAGTGAATAAATTGTAATAACTAAAAAAAAAAAAAAATCTGGTAAAAATATAATTAATAAGAAAGTCCTTGAAGATATAAGGGAAGAGAGGTCTATAATTGTTAGTCCTATAGCAGGGTTTCTTGGACTTGCCAGCAGTTATTAAACACATGGAGACTTATTATTTAAAAGCTTGGGCCTTAGCTGGACAGAATCTCAGCTAGCTCACCCCAACTAGTCTTGCACACGGCCAGCCACATGGCTAGTTCTTTACCTCTGTTCCTGTTCACATCACTTCCTTCCCATGTCACCTGACAAATCTTCCCATGTCTGAATCTTCTCCCAGAGCCTCTTTCCCTGCCTAGAAGTTCCCACTTCCCTCCTGCCTTTGTTTTGCTATTGCCCATCAGCTCTTTACTAAAGCCAGTCAACAAGTGAGGAAGGTGAATGTTGACAAAATATGAGGCCAGTGATGGGCCCTAAGAACAACAATCCCAAGTCCAGCCAGTGCTCAGCTCTCTGCTGGGTGACAGTCAACAATTGAGTACAGACACAGCCTTCACACAGTGTACCAAAGAATACCCCAACTTAAGGTTTAAAAAATAGCTTTCTTGACTGAAAATATGATAATGATGTTCAGGCCCTATATTTAATGCCAGCCATAAATAAACAACTACCTTAATCAACTTAATCTCTAGGCCTTGGTGGGTTCATTTGAAGAATAGGAATACTAACTTCTTGTAGGGTTTTCCCTTTGATAAAATGAAGTAACAATGAGAAATGTCTGAGAACTACTCCAACTGGTGCCATTCTTCCAGATCACAGACTCTAAAACAGCCAGCCACACTCTCCAGGTAATTGCCTTTAGAGTTGAATTGTTAGGCTTTACCTTAACAGCCTCTTTTCTTTCTCTTTCTCCCCTACCCCCCACCAGCAATGTGGAGTGGCCTCTTCACTCACTTAACAGAATCTTGGAATAATTTCAAGGGTCTTGATCCAAATTATACAACATGGATGGATGTCATGGAAGAGCATGGCTATCAGACACAAAAATTTGGAAAACTGGACTATACTTCAGGACACCATTCCATTAGGTAAGACTTAAACAGACTGAACCTGTTATGCCCCAGTCTGGTGGACCCCAAAGACCACCAAGGAGCTGATTCCGATGCAAACACAGTGGGGATTTTATTACACGCTTGAGCTTGGGCCCACACTATCACCGACACAGTGGTTCTTGTGTGTTGAGCCCCAAGGTCAGGGACAGAGGGGTTTTTATTTAAGGTTACGGCAAGGTTTGGGGAATTCCAGCTTGGCAGTTCTGTGATTGATTGACATTTAGCAAATATCAGGTGTTCAGAGGGCCAAACCATAATTGTTTTACTCATCCTATTGCAAAGAACACGTGGGTAAACTTTAGGTATTCACTGATTAGCCGTTGCTAGGGATGATGGTTAAATATTATCAGAGGTGAGAGGTCAAAGCACATTTTGGAGGGTTTTTCTCCTTTTGAAACTAGTGTTTATGCCTAGGGCATTTACCCTTAAAATGAAGTTTCTTTTTCAGAAAAGGGGTTACACAGGCCTTAGAAACAAACTCCACACTGTCCTCTGCTACTGCACATTTGTGTGCCCATTTTATACTTAATTTACCACAGCACTGAAAATAAATCTCTTAATCCCTCAATTACACTAATTTGGCTAAAGCTAGACTTTCATTAATCTTCTTAAAATATTAAAATTGCTAATATTCTGGTGAGGTTTTTTTGTTGTTGTTGTTGTTTTGTTTTTTTGTCTAAAACATTAACATCTATAATTAATGGATTTTAGCAGCCAGGCATTGGTGGTGCATGCCTTTAATCCCAGCACTCAGGAGTCGGGGGGGGGGGGGGTGCAAACGATATCCATGAATTTGAGGCTAGCTTGAGCTACAAAGTGAATTCCAGGACAGCCAGGGCTACATAGAGAAAACTCGGTCGCAAAAGAAACAAACAAAAAAATTATAATAGATTTTAATATTTGTAAAATAGTTTAACCTGTGAACTATTTTGTGAGTTTCTGTTATATAATATTTTGTTTTTTGATCCACTGCACACAGTGTTAATCCACTAGGGACTCCAAGCACACTAGTGAAGTCTCAAAATGGATCTGAAGCTAGTGCAGTGACTGCTTCCCTCTTCTTTACGGAAGTCTGCTCAGGTGACCTTGGCCCCACATCTCCCACATTTCCTTATAGTGGAGCCACCCTGATTGACTGTTACTGGAGCTTGAGCTAGCTCGGGATGGTCTGATTGGCCTTCAGTCATTCAAAGGCTGCTACTCTGGACAATAAGGTTAGATCTGCACTTTTGAGTCTCATCTCTGGAGTCTGATTCCTGGGATTCGGGAGGGCTCTGTCGCCATTCCCCACCCCTGCTTCCCCGTTCCTGATCCCCACAGCAATTATAATTAATAGGTTTTGATATTTGTAAAATAGTTTAGCCAGTGAATTATTTGTGAGTTTCTGTTATATAACAGTTTTTGTTTTTCGTTTTACAATCGTTGTAACAGTAACATTCTTGCTACTTACCTTTGACAGTTTCCTAGAACTTGAAGCCACTGTGACTTCTCCTTCATTTTAGTAAAGCTTCAAAACTCAGGCAGGTATCTTAGCTAGGGGTTGGCTCAATGACAGAGAACATTCTTAGCATGCACAGGGCAGTGGGTTATACCCACACCTCCACAAAAACAAATGAGCATCTAAGCATTGCGGTAAAGAGTGTCGGTCTAGAATCAGATTGCCTAATTTTGAATTCTGGTTTCCCTACTTCTCAACTGTGTGTAATCTTGAACACACTTAATTTCTCTGAACTTTAATTAGTGTGATGACTACGCTAGATAATTAGTGCAGAAAAGCGCTAGCATGTATATCTGAAACTTACTGCAATAATATTTGCCTACCCACATGATTGGCCTTAACTTTCCTTCACTGTTGTATTATCACTTCCCAGCATAGTGCCAGGACATGGCAGGTACGTACTTATTTAAGACGTGAATGGCTGAAAATATGAGTAAGTCAACTTACACTGGTCTACCATTAGCTAATCATTTGACAGTGCCATTCTGTTTAGCCTGCAGTCACTTCTGTTGATACAGAAATGACATTAATACATGGATCTCGCTCTTTCCTTCTCTCTCTCTCTCTCTCTCTCTCTCGTGTGTGTGTGTGTGTGTGTGTGTGTGTGTGTGTGTGTCACGCATGCCCTGTTTTTAAGGATTTTAGAGTTTTGAAATAATTGAAATAGTCTCAGTTCCTTAAGTTCTTCATTTTGTCCTGTAAAATTTCAAAATCAGTAGGAAAAAAACAACCACTTAAATGTATTGTTTTGAATGCTAACATAACAGTAACTTGCAGCATACTTAGGAAATGGAAGCAGATTTTCAGAGCTGTTTGCATGAGTGGCCAAGGCTTCTGTTAATAGTATGTCTGAAAGGTTATATGAACTTTGACATATATTTGGATCATTCTATATGAATGTAAAAACGAGTTTTAGGGAAAAGTCTCTTGATATCGTACTCTATAAACAGAAGCACCAAGTGTTCCTAAAAATGGCCACTTTTCACATTTTTTTGTGTTGGGGTGGGGATTAGGTTTTTGCCAAGTAGTCCAAAGTGGCTTTGAATCCCACGCTCTTGCTGCCACCACACCTAATTTGAATGTGGCCACTTCTGAACGTGCGTACATTATCAGCAACATTATGAATTTCTTTATTACAGTGCATCCATCTTTCTGAACATTTACTGATGGTATGTGTGATACATGAGTGCTTTTGGTAGTGGGTTTAGTTTGGTTTTTAGAGTCATGCTGGAGACTGAACTCAGGATGCTCTTATTTCCTCAGAACAGTTCTTAAATCAGTATTGGTTGAACTAGTTATTAAAATGCCACTGCCTACAAGATCATGAACAAGTCATCTGTCTATTTAGAGTCCCTGATTCATGAGTTTTGCTTGCACTGAATAACTTTGGGCTGTTGAGATGGTTCAGTGGTTAAGGAAACCTACCCCCAAGCCTGACTGATAATCTGGTGCAAGCCTTTGGAGACACAGTAGTGGAAATAAAGAACTGACCCCCACAGTTACCTTCTGACCTCCAGACACACATGTGTACACACACACACACACACACACACACACACACACACACACACACACGCATGCTTAATATTTTTTTAATTTTACACATATACAAAAATACATGTAAGTAATCTTAAAAGTTCTTTTACTCAGAAGTGCTTTGAAATTTGGGGATAATTTCAAAGGAGTTTCACTAACTGACTCCTTAGTCATTCTGCTTTTTCTGTACCCTTAACACTGCACATACTGTGTTTATTCTAAATTCAGATTTGCCGTTTCTTCCTCTCAATTAAAAATGTTTGTATTGAGGGGTAGAGTTGAAAAATAGTTTGCATTTTATTCACCAGGTATTTTGATCTGTTTTTCTTTATTATCACTGTATTCCCAGTCTCTAAAATGATGGTTCTCAGCCAACAGCAGTTTTTCCCTCCTGGATGATATTTCACAATGTCTTATTGACACTCCTGGGGGCTGGCACTTTCATCTGATCCTCACTGTTAAGAGCCATCTACAGTGGAGAGCATAGACCCTTCTTCCATGAAGGATTATCTCATCCAGAATATCAGCAGTGCAGAGATTGAGAAGTCATGTCTAATCAGGTGTTTTATGCTCAACACTATGCCTCAGAAATGTCACACTTAAAAGTGATGGCCAACATCATCAATTGGAAGAATAAACTTCCACTCTTTCCACTTAAGTAAAAAAAGAAGAAAGAGAGAGAACAACAATTTGTCTGTTTGAGGAGCTTTTTTATTATTATTATTCATTGACAGTTCCATATATGTATATAGTGAACTTTAGTCATCTTCATCCCCTACTTCCCTCACTCATCCTCCATCCTCCTGTTGTGGACCATGATCCCAACAAGTTCCTCTCCTACTTTCATGTTTCTTGGTGTGTGTTGATCCACTAAGTTTAATTCAGGTTACTTCATGAGCATGGGTAGGGCACCGTTTCCTGGAGTATAGGCATGTTGTCAGTGGCTATACCACTGAAGAAAGTATCATGTTTGTAGAGATTTTTTTTTTTTAGGGTTAAAAAAAATCAAAGGAGAGATGGCTCAGAGGTTAAAAGCACTGGTTGCTCTTCCGAAGATCCTGAGTTCAATTCCTAGCAACCACATGATGGCTCATAACCATCAAGAATGAGATCTGGTGCCCTCTTCTGGCCTGCAGGTGTACATGCAAACAGAACATTGTATACATAATAAATCTTTTTTAAAAATCAAAGAGAAATGCTAATTTATAAGTGTATAGAACTAGGTGGTTGATTTTATAGAGAAACATTTAAAGTTAAGTTTCTAATACCAGGGCAATAAAGTTTGACAGTAAATGTGGTAGCCCTTACTAAGACTAAGGGCATGGGAGAGGGACTGTTGAGTAAAAGCACTTGACATGCAGCCTTGACGACCTCAGTTTGGATTCCTACATCCCACATAAAAACAGGGTACAAGTGGCACATATACAAGAACTTCTACAGGATAGGAGGTGAAGATAGAACTGAGCTGAAGCTCACAAACCAACTTGCTAGAGTATGCACATAGTACATTGGCAAGAAGCAAGAGTGACCCTGCTCTGAACACAGTGGAAGGCAAGAACCCACTCCCAAAAGTTGTCCTCTGATGTCCATTCACATTCCGTGACACATACACACACATATGCACAATGCACTAAGGCTACAAGATGATCTTGATGTAATTTACTAAAACAACAGCCATTAAATTTTTGAACTAACTGATACGTACCAGACTGTTCTTAGATACTGAAATACAATGATCGAACTGCAGCATTCTTGAGTGTCATGAAACTTACCATCTGTGATGGTTAGTTGAATTAGCAACTTGACAGTATTTAGAACTACCTAGTAGGCAAGCCTCTGGCCACACCTGTGAAGGATTATCTACATTAGGATAACTGAGATAGGTATACTTGCCCACTGTGGGTAGCAGCATTCCTTAGGCTTGGGTTGCAGACTAAAAGGAGAAAATGCACTGAGTGCAGACTTTCATCTCTCTGCTTCCTGACTAGAGATGCGATATGGCCAGCTGCCATGACTACTCTGACATGGTAGGTTGTACTCTGAAACTACAAATCAAAATAAACCTCTTCCCTAACATTGTCTTTGTCAGGGCTTTTTATCACAGCAACTAGACAACTAATACACCTATTTCTAATATTTCTAATGTTATCAGAAAATAAACAAGGTTCTGTCTTGTTTGACTAGCTAAAACTATAAAGCCTTAAATCAAGTCATCTGTCATTTCATCCTGTAGTTATATATGTTCTCTGCTCATTAAGATAGATTTCTTTTAAATCTATTCAGGAGAAACTTTTTTTGTTTTGTTTTTCATTTTATTTTATTTTTCAGGAGAAACATTTTTAATCCTTCCAAACAAATGAGATCTAGAGGGATACTTCCCAAATGAAAGAACAGATACATGCTTATTTCATAGCACTCAAAACTTTGGTAAGTAGCATAGTGCCCCCTTGTGCGGCTCCAGACCAGCAAAAAAAGCTGTCCAGACAGAACCAGAGTGACAAATGGGAGACCGCAAAACTCAGAACACTGACAAAAGTAGCTTCTGCAATTCTACTACCTAATGAATGTCTGGGTTGTTTGTTTGTTTTTCTTTCAATCTCTGACTATTATCATCAAAGATATATTCATTATACTTTTAGATGCTTTTTTCATGATAATGTTATTTTTAAGAAAAATAGCCATTTACTTTGGTCATCTTAATAGCTTCTTTTAGAACTCTCCATTTTTCTGTTTTTAAAATTTAGTGTCCAGAATGGCACATTGCCCTAAGTATATTCTCAGCATCATCTTTACAATAGTGGAATATGTTTTGGTTTTTGTTTGTTGTGTTTTGGTTTTTGGTTGTGGTTTTTTGTTTGTTTTGTTGGTGGTGGTGGTTTTAGTCTGGTTTTATTACCCAGAACCCTTGCTTGTGATGGCTGAACAGCCTAGAAAAATCTGAAGATTTCATGTCCCATGACTCAAGTTGTTGCTTTGCTTTGCTTTGTTTGTGGTATTAAAACCTAGGCCTCACACATGCTGAGCATACTCAGTTAAATCCCCAGCCTGCAGACCATAGTTCTTCCCTTCACTCACTTAAAACAGAAAAGTAATTACTTTTGAGTCTGTAAACTCACTACAAATCTTAGGGTTCTTTTACTAAAGTAATACAAGTTTAGCTGTGGATAGTAAAGTTTACCTCCTACTTTAGGAACTTCAAGTTCACTTAAAATCTGTTAGATAGGCTTCACTGTTTCCTTAATGGAAACAGTGTGTGTGTGTGTGTGTGTGTGTGTGTGTGTGTGTGTGTGTGTCCTGTAATTAATGTAATTTTGAATTTGATTAACTCCATAGAGAGAGGCCATCAGTAGGCACAAAGAAAAAATAGGAAGGAGAAATGTCTTAACAATGACACCCAACTCAGCATGAACAAATCTTTCATTTGCCCTTCAATGAGGGCATTAAAGGAACCAGACTTCTGTTAGGCAAAATGAAGTCATAATCCAAAAATTGTATCAAAAGTCTTGACCATAAAGCAGCTGGCATAAAATAAATTCAGTGCTTCATCAAATAGGTTGGATTTGAGACTCCAGGAAATACTTTGTTCTCTAAAAGTAATAATAAAGTTGGAATTGTTCCATTATACTCTGCACACTAGAACCTACTTTATATTCTCTGATGGAGTCCAATAATGATTTCTAGTGTTTTTGTTTGGTTGGTTTATTTTTTCGTAATACGGTTTCTGTGTGTAGTCATGGCTGTCCTGGAACTTGGAGATCCAACTGCCTCTGCTGGAGTTAAAGGCATGCGCCACTATGCCTGGCAGTCTCTCATCTGTTAGAATTAATTAGAATATGTTAGGTGTAATTCTGCTAAAATTCTACTTTTGATACTTTTATTAAAATATGTTAACTGTACTGTTAAAAATATTTGTATTATAGCTACTTCAATTTCTTATCTACCTTCGGTGATCAGGTGAAAAAAAGAGGAAAACTTTTTATTTGGCCTCATCCTGGGCCAATGGTCATTTTCTTGTCTGAAATTTTTCCAGAGTATTGTTTTAACATGAAATATAATTTTGCTAAGGTTATTATCTAGATTCTTTTTTTAATATTTATTTTACATATGAGGGCTGTATCTGCATGTACACCTGCATGTCAGAAGAGGGCATCAGATCCCAGTACAGAAGGCTGTGAGCCACTATGTAGTTGCTGGAAACTGAACTCAGGACCTCTGGAAGAGCAGACAGTGCTCTTAACCTCTGAGCCATCTCTCCAGCCCTATTATCTAGATTCTTAAAAAATATTTCTTAGTCTGATAGAGCACTTCAAAGGCTTTTATACATGAAACAAGCATCTTGGCAATGCTGAGTAAGCTCCATAAGTAACAGCGTCAGCTTCATAAGCCTAGTCATTTCCTGAAAACATCAAGAAGCATGTGACACAAACTAAAGACTCCCACAGCTTGAGGTGGATAAGTAATGTGTAAGTCAGCACAAAAACGTACCCGGTTTATAACAAATAAGAAAGCTGTATCACTATTATGGTAGGTCAGAGTACGGCTAAACTGTTTTTTCCTGAGAGAAGCTAGAACAGGGAACATATTAAAATCGGAATTTAGAAGCACAGGAAGTACAAGTGGAAGGTAGAATTTTTTTTTAACTATAAAAGCTTTAGTGATGCAAAGGAATTATAGTAACTTTGATTAGGAATAGTCTCTTCTGAGAGAAAGATACTAAAATGCTAGGAATATGAAATATTTTAACTAATATCTTAGTTAAGCTGACTATTGTAATAAAATCACCAAAGCAGCTTGGGGAGGAAAGGGCTTACTCTCCTCAGCACTGTTCACCACTGAAGGAAGGCAAGACAGAACTCCCAATATGGCAGAACTTGGAGGCAGAGGCTGCTGCAGAGTTCATGAGGGATGCTGCTTACTGGCTTGCTCCCCATGGCTGGCTCCTCATGGCTTGCTCAGCCAGCTTTCATATAGAACATAGGACCGCCAGCCCAAGGCTAGCACCATGCACTATGAGCTGGGCCCTTCCCCATCAACCACTAATTAAGAAAATGCCTTACAGCTGGACCTTATGGAGGTAGTTTCTCAATTGAGGTCCCCCCCCCTTTCAGATAACTCTAGCTTATGTCAAGTTGACCTAAGACCATCCAGAACAACTAAGTATCTTTCTCAAAAAACAAACAAAATTAACTGTTTTAAGTAACCTGTCATAATCTTAGGACAAATGAATATTCAATTGTTTGCTGTAGCTTTTAAATCTGTAATAAAAACTTTTTAGCTGAAATGTTACACACTTATCTAAACACTTACGCTTGTTAGTCTTAAAATCGGTTCCCCTGTTGCGTTCATGCATTTGTTTAGCCAGTTTCTAAGACCGCATGAGTGTTTTCTGATATGCTTGTCTTTTTACCCCCTCAGTAATCGTGTGGAAGCATGGACAAGAGATGTTGCATTCTTGCTCAGACAAGAAGGCAGGCCTATGGTTACTCTTATCCCTGATAAGAATAGAAGGAGAGTGATGGAAAAGGACTGGCAGACTACGGACAGAGCAGTCAATTGGCTAAGACAGGAAGCAGTTAACTATACCAAGCCATTTGTCCTTTACTTGGGATTGAATTTACCTCACCCTTACCCTTCACCATCTTCAGGAGAAAACTTTGGCGCCTCTACATTTCACACATCTCTTTATTGGCTTGAAAAAGTAAGTGTTGTCTGTGTGCTCAAAAGTAGACACTGATGCTGGGTGTGGCAGCGCACACCTGTAATCCCAGCACTTGGGAGGCATCAGCAGGCAAATCTCCACGAGTGAATTCCAGGACAGGCAGGGCTACACAGAGAAACCCTGTCTCTAAAAACCAAAAAAGGGGGTGAGTGGGGGGAAAGGAGATGCTGACACCATATGCAATGCTACCTGCATTAGCTCAGGCTTTTATTATTCTTATGGAAAAATTAGGAACTTATACCTTTAAACTAAACCAGTAATGAGTTTGTTAAAAGAATAATATTCTGGAAATAAAATGTTATAATTGTTAACAGTATAGATTTACATGTGATATGTCTATAAAAAGGAACTGAAAGACATTATCTTTGGATTGTGGGCAGACCTCACTTCCTCCGGTTAAGGACGGTAAAAATAACTATATAGAGTGGAGCTGCAAAAAACAATCTTAACTGTCAAAGGAAGAAATTATCATTTCTTTCTAGAACTTTAAAAACACATGTCAAAATATTTAACATTTTGCTTTAGGTATTAAACAGAAATAGTATAATGTATTATTTAGCACTCTGATGCAAATACAGAAATGCTTGGGATCAGTGTTGTAAAAAGAATGCTGAGGACACTGTGAGCAGAGCCCGCCTTCCGTGTGTGCAGCTGACCTGCAGTGTGAGCAGAGCCCGCCTTCCTGTGTG